GGCCATAAAACCTTTTAATGGGCTCTGTGGTCTGTTCAGATTTAGATTTTCTTCCTCTCCAGAGGTCAAGCCTGTCTTTGACCCTGTATGCTGCTTTGATTCTGCAGCACCTCAGGACAGAGAAAGGGAGATCTCTTCCCAAAAGCGTAAGCTTCCTTTTGAGCAACATAGCTCCACATTTAACACTCCCTGACTTGTTTGTAAAGCGTTCTTTAAGGCCTGAATTGAGTCTTCCGTTATGTAACGGAAAATCCCATTTCCAAAAAGGGTCAGTTTAATAGCCCTTATCATATTATCGCTCTGTGCTTGCATGCTAGGACCTATTGTCTTTGCCAGAGCTGCTGCTACTCTTTCTACATGTATTAGCTCCATATTAGCAGGGTTCACTAACATGGTTGGTTGATCCAGTTTAAGATTTTCAATATCTTCCATTACTATTTCCAACATTCCTTTTCCCTGAATATCAGGTCTAACAATGTGTTTTCCTTTAGGAGTATTAGATGGGATACTCATAAGTGGCATTTGTGAGCCCTTATCTCCTTAGGGTGGAGGTAGGGTCTCAGACATTATACCACCTTCTCGTTGCTCTCTGTCTCTCAAGTATTACACAGATTTGACTTTAAAAAAATCACACAGAGCTTCTCATACCTTATCATATCACATTCAGGCAAATTTTTATTGTGCGATGTTTATTTCAACAGATAGCGTGACTTCCAGAAGTAGGCTTCTACAATCTCCTCACGGTGATTACGACTTCAGGTCAAGAGTTAAAAACTCAGTCAACAAAATCTCTTTATCGTCACGTTTAATGAGCCTGATTATCCCCACAACAGTTTTGTGATGAGATACGGTCGTTCCAAATAATTAGTTGGAGGTCGCGTCTCTCTCCTCCTCTATCACCCACCATATAACAATTACAGACATTTTATACATTTTAAAGCACCACGAAAGGTAACCGCATTAATCAATCTTATCATGATCTGCGGGGAATGCAACCCTTTTTTACACCTTTTGTAGTCTTTAATGAAAGCGCTGCAAGGTAACCGCATTAATCAATCTTATCATGATCTGCGGGGAATTTAACCCTCTTTTTCTAGCCTTGCAGCCTTCGTATTTAGTGAGTGAAGGGCTGGGATCTACCCGCCACACTCAAACACTATATTTGCTCTAGATCCAGGACTGAATACCCTTCTCTAAGCACTAATAATCTAATTTAACTAGAATATGTATTGTATTTCCCACCGTGACTACAAACACTGAGAACGCTGCTGACAACTCTAAATTTTTTAGTATAATCAATCACAGATTTTTCGATAATCAAAACAGGTGTCTGCTCACCTTTTGTATATGGCCATTGGTTTAGTTGTCACCAGTATCTCTGTGTCCTCCCCCTGGACTGGATTCTGTCCCCCGGCTATCGGTGTTCCTTTCTAGAGATCAGCTCACAAACGTCGGGAGTCACCACTTGTTGGAGTAGAATACCTCTGCTACGCGCCGTTCGTTGGATGAGGCTGGATCTCTATTAAATTAAGAAAGGAATTGAAAACACCGGAATCAAAGTTATAACAAATTATCTGAGTTTACTTCTAGTAGGAAACCAAACACATATACAAGTTATACAGAGTACTCCGGGTACTCCGGGCTTTTAGATTTGTGATGCGATTCGGATAAATGCATCGGGATCAAACCAACTCATCAAACCAAAAAGAAATTGGACTTCAGGTCTGTGATGCGATTCGGACACAGATATCGGGATCAAACCAACTCACCAAACCCAAAAGCAATTTTACACACACAAACATCAGTATTTCTATCTGTCTTTGGGGCGGAGATTTGTCGATTCTTCCTTCCCACTTTTCTCCCAAGCGAATTAGAGAGCCCCTGGGGAGGAGCTGTTTAAACTGACCACCTCCCCCAAGTGCCCTGACTGGCTGGATTCGCTTCTGGTCTGGTTCAATCAGAGGTCTGCCCAGCATGTGAGATCCCAAGCCACCCCAGGTCAAAAGTCAATGTTTATCTTTACCTTATCTTACTCTACATTCCTTTCCCAGGGGATCTTTTCCTATTTTACGATGTCTTTAACGACTTAGAAACAGCATCTGGCTCTTAGTGGTGATAAGGATCAATGTTGGTGTGTGAAACACAGAATCTCTGAGCCAGTGAGTTTAAAAGTGAGAATAACATTCTTTTTCTAAGTGATTATCAAAACCCGTTCAAACAATACATGTTTACTTCAATACAGTGTAGAATCATATCTTTTTCCTTCAGGCTGTGGAAATGGTGATCAAACAATACTAGGGGGGGTCCTGGGGATGCTCCCCCGGTAATTTCTTTTGAGAAAAGACCCCTTAAATCATGACTTCTGGTGATGTTAGAGGGGGGGAGAAGGACAATTTGAGGCTTAAAAATATGAGAAGACTGATCAATACCTCCATAACTTCAGTGTGGTTAGAGCTATGAATCTTCCAAAACTTCCAAACACCTTGTCCTGGACATAGTTTCTACAGCATAAACTGTGCAACAGTACAGTAGGCCCACACAAACTGCAGAACACCGGGGCTTTGGGAACACTGATTTAATTCCCATTTAACCTGTTAAGGGGCTTTTTCCCCCCGTTTTTTCTCTCACGAAACTGTGTCTCAGGGCTTGTTAAAATGTAATAAACTATTCCTGTGTCCTACTCAGAGGAAACGCATCTGATATGAACCATGTTTACCGAAACAAAACACAAGTCTCACAAGAAGCGTCTAAATGAGCCCTGAGCGAAAAAATGATAACGCACTCTAGGTATAAATCAATCGATATACTTATCGGATATGCACAAACAAGCTTACAAACTGAGATTCCACAAATTCTAGAAATATAAGTATCATCACTGAGCGATCAGAACTCGCGACAGGGGAAGCAAATACAGACATCACACGATGTAGCTTTAGGTAGCAAAACATGGAGATATGCTCACCTTTTGCAGAATAACAATTCTGATCAAAAACGAGAAAAACGCAGCTGAAGGTTAATCCATAGGTTAATCCAATGTGTCTGTCACTTTGAAAAATGATTGATGATCCATAATTCCATTTTTATGTCAAAAACTGAGTTTTCATTAGCTGCTAATGGTAGCTTCCAGAGTGTATGACAGCTTCCTGTTTTGCCTCCTTGGATACGAGTCCAAACAACTCACAGACTGCACCGGGCGCTCACGTAGGAGCCCTGTGACCAGTGGCGTCGCCTGGCCTGGGCATCTGGGGCTTTAGCCCCGAATGTTTTTTCTGTAGCCCCGGACAATTCTCCCTCAATAATATAATACATTAACCGTGCTTTACGTGAACCTCATCATGACACAAGAGAGGACGGCAACACTGTAATTTCCCGTGTTCAGTGAATGCAACAGAGGCATGACACCAGACCAATCAGAGAGTTGCATGGAAATAAACGTGTGCTTGTGTCATTCAAGCTCGGCTCTGTGTGTGTGTGTGGCAATAGCGCATTTAGTGTGATAGAGAGAGAGAGAGGGAGAGAGGGGGAGGGAGGGACCGCTGCCAGCAGGGACCTGTTGTTAGCATCTGGTTAGCTAGCTGCACTAACGGACATAAGGAGCTGTTTGTTCCACAAGAAGCTGGAGGAGAGTCCTCTCCTCTCAGACTGAGAGGAGAGGACTCTCCTCTCAGGGACTGAGAGACTCAGGTGAGCTAAAGGACTCTCTGAGTGTTTAGATAGTTAACTTTAGTCTAAGTTATTCTCAGTGGGTCTCAAACTGTTTGGTCACAAATTATTCAAAAGATTATTTCCGCGGCACACCTTCATATGATCATTATAGTTATAAAAAAAATAAGAGAATAAAGGGAAAACAGTTATGAAATACTATATGGCAGTAAAACAAGAATAGAGTTTAAAAGGGGAGTGATTAGTAAAATATCCATAAAGAAAAAGTACATCTGTTTACAGTTCTGTTTCATATGGGTGCTGAGAGAGGTATCCATAGATCTCTTCATTTTGCTCTCAAAGTGCACCAGATTGATGCTTTTAACTTCAATATTTAAAAAAAAATCTTCCCAGGGGAGCATCCCCCCGGACCCCCCTAGAGGAGGTGAGGTCTGCCCCCCACTCATAAAAAAATACCACTTTACCCCTGCCTATATGCCGTGAGCTAATTATCGAGCCTTTATTGTAACAGTCGCAGGTGTACTGTGTGTGTGCGATGTGGGGAAGTGTTGCAGTAAAAAGCCACTAGTGCCGCCCGCCCACTGGTGGGCGAAGCCCCGAATGTGTCCAGGCCAGGCTAGCGCCCCTGCCTGTGACCATCAGATTTGACGACGCTGATTTGGCTGTGAAATCTATGTTCGGCGGCATAGTTTAAAGATAGCAACAATGTTGGCTCTGCTGCACTGCTGCCCTCCTAGTCGTCGGGCGCTGTGCATATGCGCCACAGACGAGAGGGAGTAATGAGTACACGGGCAAGGCCAGGCAGGAAACATGTGACTTATCAGTAACTTTAGACATCGTAACACAATTTTAAACGAGATTTTATTGTAGATTATACATTTTACTGATACCAATTATATAATATTTACCTTGTCATTAAAAATAAAAATAAAAATAAAAAATATATTTTTTAAATAAATATATATATATATATATATATTTTTTTTAATGTGGGAAGAGGGGGGGGGCGGCGCCCCTAGCGCCCCTAGGGCCGGCCGCCACTGAGTGTAACGAAGCTTTCGGTTTGGGCAAACTGCGTGCGCATCACTCTCACTCCTCAGAGGTAATGTTTAGATGGAATTAAGAACTCCCCCTCGATTATATTGGCTCTAAAGGTTCAAAAGTGATCCCATCATTCAAGGGTGGTTTTCACTATAAGCGATGTTTGTTTTTTAGACGACACTATCATTTACATTTTTATCAGAACATATGTCAAATATGTTTTTCATCAAATGCTTGAGGTCTTTATGTTTTCCTCTTTTTTTTTAACACATGTTGTAATATATGTGTTATTATAGACTTACTCGCTGTGGACTCTCAGAGGCTCACTGTGAAGTCGTGTGGCCTCAGCTCTGAAGTCTGACTCCTCCCATCTGAGAGATCTGGACCTGACTGGGAACACGCTGAAGGATTCAGGAGTGGAGCTGCTGATCTCTGGACTAAAGAGTCCAAACTGCAGACTGGAGGCTCTCAGGTCAGTTCACTGACTGAACTTCATCCGTTTGTGTTTATCATTTTCTGAATTTGAACAAATACATTTCAATTGTTTTTTCCACTTTTGCTAATGACTGCATATTGATCAGAATAACAAAGAGAAGGTGAATGTGTGAAGGAGAGTGTTTGAGCTTCCACAGACTCCCTCTGTGCTCCATGAGTCAGTGGAGATGCTGTCAGTACTGATGAGCTGTGAGGGAGATGAAGGAGTTGTTAAACATCTGATCAAAGTTAAAGTTCCAGATTATCAGTGGATTGTTTCTGCATCATCTCTGACATTAAAGGGGACCTATCATGCAAAATGCACTCTCTGATGTCTTCTCTACATCACCATGTGTCCCCGGTGTGTCCCCGGTGTGTCCCCCGTGTGTCCCCGGTGTGTCCCCGGTGTGTCCCTGGTGTGTCCCCGGTGTGTCAGGAGACTCACAAAGTGTCAGGAAATAAACCCCTCTCTCTTTTCCTCCGTACCCACATCTCTAAAAACGGGGGAACAACGGAGCTGATCTAGATTTGCTGCGTCATGACCACATTACTAAAATGTGGGCGGGCTTTACACGCCACGGGCCTATCAGAAAGCGTTGCTGTCAGAAACAATGAGACGTGTTCTGGAAGTAATATGGTCTGTGTTTACATTAGCATGCTAACACTCAGAGCTAACCTGTACTGGAGAGAGCATGTGTAAAGAAGCAGGAAATCAAAAGGAAGTCACCTTGTGGTAAACCTGAGAGAGAGAAAGAGTTTGAGCTCCATACTGTTTCAGAGAGAATCCTTGATGTGGTTTGGAACATGATGTGGAGTTTCATCACGGCAGCATTTAGCTGACTTTCTGCTGGGAGAGTTCTGAGCAGGCATTAGCTCCCCCCTCCTCTTTTTTTAAGCTAAGGACCCGAACCTGCTCTTCTCTAACAGCTGGAACAGAGGGAAATGAGGGATTTCTAAAATGCATGATCTGTTTGGTATTTTGAGCAAAACACATCATAGACATGTTTTTATATATTTGTATAGGGCTGTCAGTCGATTAAAATATTAATCGCGATTAATCGCAAATTAATCGCACATTTGTTATCTGTTCTAAATGTACCTTAGAGGGATATTTTCAAGTTGTTAATAGTGTGTGTGTGTGTGTGTGTGTGTGTGTGTGTGTGTGTGTGTGTGTGTGTGTGTGTGTGTGTGTGTGTGTGTGTGTGTGTGTGTGTGTGTGTGTGTGTGTGTGTGAAAGAATGTGGAGACACTGATGGATCGTTGGAGCTATGTGCAGCTCAAGGCATATATGCTCGAACGGGAGCTGCCTGGACGCTGCAATCATGTTGCGCGTACTATCCGTGCTGAGTGTGCTGACTTTTCGTACAATGTCCCACTGTCTGGCTACCTGCATAAAGTCAAGTGCTCGGCGCAGTTGTCGGCGAAATGTCATTGAAACAGCTCCTTATATCCGTTAGCGCAGCTAGCTAGCGCCAGATGCTAACAACAACAACACGTAAGGTGTGCCTCGCTCGCGCGAGTCGCACCACACATACACACACCCTCCCGGTCCTCCCGATGGCCAGTCCGGGCCTGCCGGTGAGCGTGGAAGTGTGGTCTGCCACAAGCGGGCGGCAGGAGCGGGGCTGTCAGCATCAGCTTGTAGATGGTATTTTAAACTCGATGCGCTCTGAAACTACGGGGCGGCCGAGGACAAAAAATACACATGCGTTAATCGCGTTAAAATAATTAGTGGCGTTAATTTTTTTTTGCGTTAACGCGTTATTAACGCGTTAACTTGACAGCCCTAATTTGTATATATCTGAGACCCATAATATAGGCCTAAAGATAGCAGATAGGACACCTTTAAAACCCTGTTTAACTCTGATCAGATTATTAAACCTGGAGTTATTTCAAACAGGAACATTGTTTTATAAACTTACATCATGTTCTCTGTATTCAGTCTGGAGAGCTGCAGTTTGTCAGAGATCAGCTGTTCTACTCTGATCTCAGCTCTAAAGTCCAACATCCATCTGAGAGATCTGAGCCTGGGTTTCAACGCTCTGAAGGATTCAGGAGTGGAGCTGCTGAGAGATCTTCTGGAGAGCCCAGACTGCAGACTGCAGACTCTCAGGTCAGTTCACTGACTCTCTGTTACTGCTGGAGATCTCATGTGTTTATGTTTATTATTCTACATGAATATATTACATCCATACGTTTGTAAATGTTGTTTTGTTCATATGTCTCTAAATGTAGTCTGCAGTCATAACAGTTGATTGTTTCCTAAAGTAACTATTATTCTTCCTGTTAGTTGTTAAAGTAAATGTATGTTTTCTTTAGTAAATGTTCTGAATAAAGGAGGTCCTCTGAACTAATATTAGTTTTACATAAAGTTTACTTTCTGACAGAGAAATGTTAATGTTCCCATCATTTAGACGTGTTCTCACAGATAATAACCAGAAGGCTGATATAATGATGATCCTCAATAACAGAATGACAGTCTCTGTAATTCAGGGAAAGATCCTTGATTAGGACGCAGTAATGATGAGCTGCACATTTCAGACCTGAACATCTGACTGGATTATAAACTGATTTCTATCCTCATCATGTTTTCTTTATTCAGAGTGAGGGGCTGCAGGTTGTCAGAGATCAGCTGTTCTGCTCTGATCTCTGCTCTGAAGTCCAACCCCTCCCATCTGAGAGATCTGGACCTGAGTAGCAACGATCTGAAGGATTCAGGAGAGAAGCTGCTGAGAGATCTTCTGGAGAGTCCAGACTGCAGACTGAAGACTCTCAGGTCAGTTCACTGACTCTCTGTTACTGCTGGAGATCTCATGTTTCATTTGTAGCGTACGTGTTATCCCTGAACGAATAAATGTAATTTGGGTGCAACAAATGATCTTCTTAAAAACGCAGAAACAGAGGGATAGCCCGGTGACCTAGCTACTGAAGTTCACAAAGGAAAAATAATAATCAACCAATTCACTTTCCACATATAATGTCTGTATTTTTAACCCCAAATAATAATCAGTACATTAAACAAACAACTCATGTCACAGACCATTTACCAGAAACACTTAAGTCCAGTAGATACAAAAACACAAACAAATAAGTCACATTAACTCACAAAACATCAATCACTTATGTGACTCCGAGAGCCTACGATTGTTTACATCATGTGGATTGACTGTGGGTGAGTGTGGGGGGGGAAGAAGTATTGTTTGTCCTTTGTCACTCAGGGTAGGAGTGTAGTTCAGAGGATAGGGATGAGTGAAAGTAAAGTTGTAAAGTTCTGTTTTTCCAGTTCAGAGGGTGGTGTGTGTGTAGAGTGCAAGAGGAGGAGAAATGATATTGGTGTAGTGAGAATAACTTATCTGAGGGTGACAGGCCGGAGTAGATCACCGGATTGCAGGTTTTAACTGGGAAGGGGAAAGTTACATGTTTTCCCCACAGCTCCTGGGTTCAGTGGCAAAACTCCCAAAAATAGCCTGATTTCTCTGATGAAGTCCATAAGAGTCCACTTTCCTCCTTGTTGGATCCGACGTCCTCTTGGTTCTTTCTCCTCTCTTTGAAGGACATGCTGTCCTCCTTTTATCAGCACACAGGGGCCAATCATTTCCTTGATTGGTTTCCTCCAGCTTCTCTCAGGGGTGCTTGATTAGCCACTCCCTTTTCTCTCAGGGAATCTGTAGGAGTGTGTTTACTTTTCCCCCTGTCCTGCTACACATCAGATATTCACTTGATTCTTCTACATTCATATTTTACATCCATAAAGTTGTAAATGTTCTTTTATTCATACTTTAATTTGTAGCTACTAAAGTAAGAACTGCAGAGATAATGTTGTCTGATTCTTGAAGGAACTGGAATAGATGTTAGTTGTTAAAAGTAAATCTATGTTTTTAATATTTAGTAAACGATAAAGTCTGAATAAAGTTCATCTGAAGTCATATTAGTTTTACAGGATAAAGTTGACTTTCTGAAGAAGACATGTTTTTGTTCCCTTTCATTTCAATGTTGAGTAACATCTGATTATAAACTGATTTGTATCCTCATCATGTTTTCTTTATTCAGTCTGATGAGCTGCAGTTTGTCAGAGATCAGCTGTTCTGCTCTGGCCTCAGCTCTGAAGTCCAACATCCATCTGAGAGAGCTGGACCTGAGACTCAACGATCTGAAGGCTTCAGATGTGAAGCTGCTGAGAGATCTTCTGGAGAGTCCAGACTGCAGACTGGAGACCCTCAGGTCAGTAAGGGGTCTCTGCTGGTTCAGCAGTATTGTATGAACCACAGGGAGGTGTTTCTCTCTCTGGGGAAACAGATCAGTGATGTTACCCACTGACTGCAGGCTCTTTCATTCTTCCATCAACTATAGAAGGCCAGCTGAACCTGCAAAGCCACACTTTAGTAATCAACTCTCTAACAGACGGGCTTTTACAGAAGAGTGGGAAAGGTGGTCTGTTCTTATGGGATGCTTTTAGTTTCTAGACCAGGGGTGTCCAAACTGCGGCCCGGGGGCCAAATGCGGCCCTCTGAATCCGCCCTCAGCAAATTCTGAAAGTTTAATGAAATATGAACCACAAATGAAACTTGTGCTTTTCTTATATTGTACTTCTTAAATATATATGTACACATATATTACTCAGTAGTATTCATGTGTTCATAATCCCACTTTTAAAATAAATTCAGTCATTAAAGCTGAAAACATGTTCTAACACATCTAACTTGATAAGAGAAAAGCCCAACAACTTATTTTTATAACAAGCGTGAAATAAACCTTCATATTTCCTGTGATTATAATCAATCTGAAGATCCTGCTTTAAGGAATGAGCTGCTGACAGAATAAAGTGAACCCTCTGGAGAGCTGGGAGCTGTTTTGGGGGAAAAAGGTTTGGACCCCCCTGTTGTAGACCAGTGACTGGTTACTTCCTGTCATGCAGCTGAGAGCTGTGGCAGGCAGTCGTAGTGTTTGCAGAGAAGATCTGATGGGATGTAAAGCATGAGATCAGGACTCTGAAGCTGACTCAAAGAACTAACACTTATTTAAACTGGATCTTGTTGGAGTAGAATACCTCTGCTACGCGCCGTTCGTTGGATGAGGCTGGATCTCTATTAAATTAAGAAAGGAATTGAAAACACCGGAATCAAAGTTATAACAAATTATCTGAGTTTACTTCTAGTAGGAAACCAAACACATATACAAGTTATACAGAGTACTCGAGTACTCCGGGCTTCAGGCCTGATGATGCGGTTTTACAGGTAGACAGACCAGCTTTCAGAAAACGAGAAGTATGGACTCCAGGTTTGTGATGCGGTTTACCGTCTTCTAGCACCAACTTTCAACAGACCAGAAGCATTTTACACTCAAAATCATCAGTATTTCTATCTGTCTTTGGGGCGGAGATTTGTCGATTCTTCCTTCCCACTTTTCTCCCAAGCGAATCAGAGAACCCCTGGGGAGGAGCTGTTTAAACTGACCACCTCCTCCAAGTGTCCTGATTGGCTGGATTCGCTTCTGGCCGAGGTCAATCAGAGTTTCGAACAGAGTGAGACCCCAAACCACACTAGGTCAAAAGTCAATGTTTATCTTTACCTTATCTTACTCTACATTCCTTCCCAGGGGATCTTTTCCTATTTTACGATGTCTTTAACGACTTAGAAACAGCATCTGGCTCTTAGTGGTGATAAGGATCAATGTTGGTGTGTGAAACACAGAATCTCTGAGCCAGTGAGTTTAAAAGTGAGAATAACATTCTTTTTCTAAGTGATTATCAAAACCCGTTCAAACAATACATGTTTACTTCAATACAGTGTAGAATCATATCTTTTTCCTTCAATCTCAAACTGTTGGATTGTGTTCATCTCTACAGGATCACAGGAGAGCCGTTCAGAGCCAAGATCCAGAAGACCTGTGAGTACTGAAACCATATCCTCCATTCATCAAGATACTAAACTCTTGAATGGAGCATGACCTCAGAGGAAAACAACACTCTTCTTTCTCTCTTCATCATTCAGGCTGTTTCTCTGTGTTTTCATCATCATCATTCTCTCTCTCTCCTTCCCTCTCAGGTGACAGAGTTTGGACTTTGGAGAGACAGCTAACGGACAAACTCAAGGAACTGAAAGACACTCCCTAACAGGCCGTATGCTGTGTAGCTTTACCTTGGATGACTCAGTGCAGTGTTCTGTGCAGGTTGTTGGTTTGCTCTTCCAACTCAAGGAGCTCAAAGACTGATTGGAAGTTGACATTTCTGATTTCTGATTCAATGTGAAGGAAAATTCACCTTTGAGTTGATACAGTATGTGTGTGCATATAATGCCCCCTTTGGCCTAACCTGGGAGAGCCTTCTGTTCACTGCCAACCTAAGGAGCTCACACATGTTAATCAAGAATGTATTATTATTGGCTCAGCCAGGTTTTACGGGTCTACTTACAGACGGGTCACTCATTTTGAAATTATTTTATTTTTCTTTAATTTTTCATCCTCGTGTAGAATGCTATCACGAAACACACATTTGGATTATAGCACAAAGAACATCTGATTTAATGTGAGGTAGGGAAATAATCATTTGAGTAAGCAGCTTGAAAATGCACCTTGAAAATGCTTGAAAAGTGCTTGAATTTGAATCCTGCATCTTTTATACCTTGCCCTTTTGTTTGCCCTGTTTTCGAAGTCGCCCTCTTGCTACTTAAAAAAGCGCTTTTGGTCCAGCTAATGTCCCTCTGCATGCTAACTGTACGGGGCTGTATTTTAGTTGTTATTAGATTCATAACAAATAAATCCTGAAAGCTGAATTCCTCTGAACTTCAGTGACTCTTGATTTCTCTGTGGAACAGATTGTTCTCCTGCAGAAAGAGATTATGAAGCAGGAAGCGTTCAGTGTGTAGGTTTAAACTCACTGTGAGGCTCGGCCCTAGATACTAACTGAGATATCACACACACATTTCTGTGTTTCATCAGGAGCAGCTCTGGGTGTTAGCAGATTCTTACATCATCCTGTGAGCCTTAAAGTGGGAATACTGAGTGCAAACTGGAGTAAAAGTGGTACCCAGAAATGCTTGCTAATGTCTACATCCTGGCATTCTGGCATTCGTTGTGTACAAAATGTCCATGCATTACTCACTCAGTTCTGTGTCATTCTCTGTATGAATGATATCTGCTAATGGAGAATTTGATTAAGCCTCCAACTGGCTTCATGTCAGGCTCTTATGTCACTCCTGCTGTTGTCTTCATAGCCAACAGGTCTTTGTGGAGAATGCAGGCAGCTATCATGATAGTGCTACTCCCGTCAGTTTGGTAATCACACAGAACATTTACTTTCCTCAGGCTGTATGAACAAATATAAACGGTTAAAACAGTCACACAGATGCACAACGTTAGCTTCAATATCTACATGAGGACCGGAACCGTAAAGTAAACAGATATGGTTCTAAACTGTATTGAAGTAAACATGTATTATTTTGAATTGTATTTTAGTGAACATGTATTGTTTGAACTGTTTTAAGTAATCACATATATACATATTGTATTCTCACTTACAACTCACTGACCCAGAGATCCTGTTACACACACATACACCTCCTCCCACCAGCACACACACATTTTCTTTTCAAGGTTCTTTCTGGGCATCAATATATCTGTGTACAATGTTTGGTTGTCTGGGAAAGAATAGTTTGTGTGAAATATTCCTTGGGAAAGTAAAGGAGTGAATATCGGTGCAGAGATAAGATTGACTCTGTCCTTGTGAACTTCAGAATCTCAGAAGAAAACATACTTTTCTCAGAACTTTGATTCGCTGTATTGGACCCGACCAGAAGTGAATCCAACCAGTAAAAACACCTGGGGGAGTGAGCAGCTCACACAGCTCCTCCCCGCGGACTCTCTGATTCGCTTCGGAGTAAAATGGGAGGGAAGAGTTAACACATCTCCGCCCCAAAATATGAATATGAATACTGTTGTTTATGCATGTAAATGCTTCCTGTTTGCTGACTGGCTGGTCCCGATACCTGTATCGCACAGCAGTAGAAACCTGAAGTCCGGAGTACTCTGTAAACTCGTATACGTGTTTTGTTTCTTACCAGTAAAATCAGATTATTGTTATAACCTTTATTCCGGTGTTTTGAATCCCTTTCTTTATTAAATATAACCAGCCTCATCTAACGAACGGCGCATAGCGGAGGGGGGCTGTAAGTCACCATCCAACAGTGTTTGCTACAACAAGCGTTAGCCACTTTTCCTTTTAACATTTCTCATAGTGCAGACATTTTGCTACTCAAATCAACTCAGTCTCACGGCATTTCGTGTTATAGTCACAAAATTAATGTAATCTATTGATTCGTGTTCACCAACACGATTTTCGCTTTTTTTTCGTGTCACACAGAACGATTTAAAAAAAATGCTTTAAAAGCAATGTATTTCTATTGGTAGTATGTTTCGTGCCTGCTACACGTCTTTTTGTCCGGTCGGGTCTTGGAAGACCAGAAGCTGTGTGGTTCATAAAAACATGTTCTTACTCAATATCTTACCCTAAGCCTAACCCTTTTATTTTAAATAGTATAATGTCTGAGTTTTTTTGCCGTCAGTGAGGAAAATAAATGGCTCAGAGCCTCAGAATACTCACACCTGTATTTTTTTAATCTCTTTTTCCTTCTAATTTGTTATTATTTACATTGCTTTTAAAATTGTTCTGTGTGACACGAAAACAATGGGAAATCGTGTTGGTGAACACGAATCAATAGATTAATTTCGTGACTATAACACGAAATGCCGTGAGACTGGGTTGCAATGTTGGCAGCTAAAAATAGCATCTAATACAAGCAGTCAAAACAGGCAACTCATATGAGCTGTTATAGGGTGATGCAGTGACGAGTCCTAAAACCAGGAAGTGAGTCAGCATTTCACCACTTCCTGTTCCCTCGTCTCAGAGCCAATGGGATCTCTCCATAGGATTTTGTAAAATATCTGTAAATAAGGTCTGTGGTTGAGACACATTGAAGAGACGGATCACGTTTTGTTCTAGGACATTAAATCCATCAGCAGTGACCCCACTGGTGATTTCTGAAGAGTTGACGTGTCTGAAAAGCGATGGTTGTTACCAAGTGGCTGAATAGGACTACAGAAGTCGTGGAGGACGTTGTACGTCATTACGCCGAACACGTAAACACTCCTCTAAGTTTGTTAGCCCTGTTCTGCTTGAAAGCAAGTACCTGCCTCCTGCAAACTGTTCAAACAAACGCTTCAACTCGTACAGTTTAGAATCTGTGTGTTTGAATATGGATCTGAAGTTGGTGTGACGTTGAAGTCGTGCTGCTGTACTCGGCTGTAGTTCCTTTATAGCATAACGTTAGCATTTTGCTTCTGGCCATTAGATTTATGATTAGAACATTATAAAAGTAGGGTAGACATGTGGAGATTATCCGGCTGAACAAAACATTTATCAAACAGGTTAGTTTTCCACAGACATTATTTCCAGCTATTTTCCTAAATCCTCTGGAGAAATCCTGTTGTTTTTTTGTGGAGGGAACCAGCAGCTTCCTTCAGGGAACCAGCAGCTTCCTTCAGGGAACCAGCAGCTTCCTTCAGGGAACCAGCAGCTTCCTTCAGGGAACCAGCAGCTTCCTTCAGGGTGAATACGTCCTCCCTGCACCGCTCTATAAGCTACTTATATTAGCTGCTAATGTTAGCTGCAAAGAAAAACAACAACAAGTGAGGCCATGAAAGGATTTGTCTCCTCTGAATGTCCCAACCAGCAGAGCACCAGGTTATCAACATGATAACAAACAGAAAAGAAAAGTATTCAAAGGCAACAGACAAAACTCTTCTTTAAAGTTCATTTCAAAACTTTATAGCGTATACTTTAAGCATTTGATACTGTCGATCATCGCATCTTGAAGCAGAGGCTAGTCAGTATTGGCATCACAGTGCACTGAGATTTGTGACAAACTGTAAAGCATTAACTCATCACTGTACCCTGTATGCAAGGGCTGGTCTGCCTTCGCTAACTGTACGGAGGCTCAGTCACTGGAACATTTTTATATATAAAGCCATGTTAGGGAAACTTCCATCCTACATCTGCTCCCTGATCTCACGGCGAATTGTAAGTTAAATTAAATTAAATGTGCCAACTGCTAGGACTGTCTTAGGGAAGATAGCTTTTAGATGCGCAGCTCCACTGTCTTGGAATAGTCTGCAAATGAAATGGAAACTGAGCAATCTGGTGCCACTACATGTTTTTAAAGCTCGGTTGGATGCTTCTCAATCGGATGCTGTTGGTACCTGTTCATGTGGATAGTTATGTAAACTGTAATCCCTGTAATGATGCTGTATGATGTCCTTTTTGTTGTTCTGTTGTTTAATGTTTCATGTGGAACCTACTTGAGCAGGTCTCCCTTGAAAAAGAGAGCAATGATCTCAAAGGGATACACCTGGATAAATAAAGGTTTGAAATGAAATGAAATTTGACTCGTTTTTCGCTGACAGCAACTTTATTAAAATAAGAAAAACACAAAGAAATGATTCCCTTCATGTTCAGTACAAAATCACTGAATCGTCATTTATATCTGACAGCATCTGGAGAAAATAACAAAACCTTCATCAGTATCTTCCTCTTCTTCTTCTTCATCACCCAGCTCCTCTTCTTCATCACCCAGCTCCTCTTCTTCTCTCTCTTCTCTCAGAACAAACTCTATATAGATTTAAACAGAAGAGCGTTTTCATCTTAAATACAGTACGTAGCACAGCTCCTTCACACGAGCAAATAAATAAAGTGGAATGATAGATTTTATTTGTCTCTCCATCACTTAAAGGTCAGATAATATAATATATAATAATTAGGGCTGTCAGTCGATTCAAATAGTTAATCGCGATTAATCGCAAATTAATCGCACATTTTTTATCTGTTCTAAATGTACCTTAGAGGAATATTTTTCAAGTTTTTAATACTCTTATCAACATATGAGTGGACAAATATGCTTTATAGTTTGTTTATTATCATTTGAACAATGACAAATATTCTCATGAATATTAAACACAACAACCTGAACATTACAAATATTCGCCTCAATTTAACCTAGAACCTCTCTCATACAATACAGTGTGTGTGTGTGTGTGTGTGTGTGGGTGTGTGTGTGGTGTGTGTGGTGTGTGTGTGTGTGTGTGTGTGTGTGTGTGTGTGTGTGTGTGTGGTGTGTGTGTGTGTGTGTGTGTGTGTGTGTGTGTGTGTGTGTGTGTGTGTGTGTGTGTGTGTGATCGTTGGAGCTATGTGCAGCTCAAGGCATATATGCCTGTGTGTATGAGCTGTGTTGCGGCACTGTCAGTGCTGAGTGTGCTGTCTGGCTACCTGCATAAAGTCAAGTGCTCGGCGCAGTTGTCGGCGAAATGTCGCTCCTCTGTTTTCATTGAAACAGCTCCTTATATCCGTTAGCTCAGCTAGCTAGCACCAGATGCTAACAACAACACGTAAGTTGTGCTTCGCTCGCGCCACACATACACACACCCTCCCGGTCCTCCCGATGGCCAGTCCGGGCCTGCCGGTGAGCGTGGAAGTGTGGTCTGCCACAAGCGGACAGCAGGAGCGGGGCTGTCAGCATCAGCTTGTAGATGGTATTTTAAACTCGATGCGCTCTGAAACTACGGCGGCCGAGGACAAAAAATACACATGCGTTAATCGCGTTAAAATAATTAGTGGCGTTAATCTTTTTTTTGCGTTAACGCGTTATTAACGCGTTAACTTGACAGCCCTAATAATAATATCTAACGTGTCCAACAATATGATGATGCTATCCTCCTTGTTACA